CCATATTTTTAGAGGATTTTTTTTCTACTTGGTTACAGCTACCAAGAGTTGCCTGAGCAATTCTGCATGTATAAAGAGCAACTGCATCGTTTTTTGGAAGGGGAGTGGATTTGTGCACATTGGTTGCACGTTCGGAGCCCTGGTGGCACAGTGGTTAAAATGCACTATTGCAAGCGAACTCTATGCACAGCCTGCAGCTCAATCCTGATGGGGCTTAAGGTTGACTCAGCCTTCCGAGGTTGGTAAAAATGAAGCCACAGGTTGTTTGGGGGCAAACAATGCTTGGGCATTGTAAACTGCCCAAGGAGTGCTGTAAAGTATATAAGCATATAGGACTAAATGCTGTTGCTATTGTTACTGAACATGAGAACAAAGCTACGGACCAATGAGATTCAAACAACATAAGAACTAGTCCAGCAGTCTGTTTTCACAGTGAACCATCAACTTTCCAAGGAAATCCATAATCTCCCAGCAGATAGCCTTCGGAGGCAGTTCCTCTATCCTCAAGGCTAATAGCCATTATCTCTTATGATTTCCTTGAATTTTGTGGTGTAGCTAATTCCAAAGTTGAATTATACATTATTTAAATTATGTCCCCAAAGTGCTTTTTCCAAAAGGCAATTAGACTTTCTTGGATTTTTTTTTTTTTTGCTTTGAAAATGTTCCGCTTCTCATCCAAGAAAACTGTCCCCTCTCTTTTCTTCCAACAGCTGGAGAACCTCTCCAACTTCATCAAGTCCCTACTAAGCTATGGTTTGAAGCCCGTCGATCTGTTTGAAGCCAACGATTTGTACGAGAGTGGAAATATGACTCAAGTGCAGGTGTCGCTCCTTGCTCTGGCGGGCATGGTGAGTGAAAAGATCCTCTTGTTTCCATGGAGGACAAACTGCTAGTTCTCCATCTTAACTCCGCATGTGTACATAAGGTGACTGGCCTGCCTGTTGAGGCTGCTGCTGCCATTATCATTGGTGTGATTTGAATACCCTGTGGGCAGAATGCCGAGTTTTGATTGCAGTTGTGTGGATGCATCAAGACAAGGGCATGTCAAGAGGAGATGAGGCTTCATGAGCCGTGGTGGCGCAGTGGTTAGAATGCAGTACTACAGGCTACCTCTGCTGACTGCTGTCTGCCTGCAATTTGGCAGTTCAGATCTCACTAGGCTCAAGGTGGACTCAGCCTTCCATCCTTCTGAGGTCGGTAAAATGAGGACCCAGATTGTTGGGGGCAATAGGCTGACTCTGTAAAACTGCTTATAGAGGGCTGTAAAGCACTGTGAAGTAGGATATAGGTCTAAGGGCTATTACTATTAACTCCTATATTCCAATTAATTTTTCCAAATGTAGCCCACCTCTAGGATTATTTTCAACATTTTTTAAAAAAGGGATCTGCTCTGGGTCACATAACTAGGAAGAGCGAGGTATACTCCTAAGAATACACTGGGGGATATTTTTAATGGTTATTTTCTCCACAGCCATTGGCTACACCTGCCCTATTTTCAGACTCGTTCTTTCTTTTGCCACATTCTCTCATGCCAAATTTGGTCCGTTTCTGTTTTTGGAAAGTTATTGTGGAACGTAAGGAAGATGACTTTGTCAGAGATGGGCCAGATTCATTACCAAAGTGATAAAAGGGTAAACCTGGCTTAAGTCTAAAACAAGCAGAAAGCATGCATAAATAGCTCAGACAGACACCTTCCTAATTCGCATATGTATAAGGTATGCGTGTGTGTTTTCTAACATTATTTCAATCTCTTTAGGTATCTGGGGTAGGTTAGCATTCTGTAAGTACTGTTTAACTCTTTCGTTGGCTCTTTGATCTAGCCATCTTGCCTTTATGATCCACCTCCCTTTCAGATATCCCTGACTATGGGGATCTCCCCTGCAGAGCGCTAGTTTTACAATGACTATTAAGGTGCTTGATTTATCCAGTTTCTGCTCTCCAGTGTTCTGTGCTTTTTATAAAACAGATTAAAGAGCTGACAGGAATGTCAGACTATATTCATTAACTGCCAGTGACATGGTTAACAAAGTCAGCCAGTGAATAAGACTGGCAACAGACCAGCCATACTTACTCACTAACAGCCTGGGTGTGGCTTGGCTCTGTGTGCTTTGCTGAGAATTAAAACTGAAACTGATATCTGTTCTGAGCCCTCTGAGCTGCGGCTTATGTTTTTGCTTATGTTACCTTGAAAGAATCTACAAATGGTATTGCAAACTTTACTCAGAGTTGTTCTGTATATAAAGAAGTTATTGATCCTGCTGAATCAGTCATATGTGTGTTTTCTGGACTTGAATTTCTGCTGCAAACTCTTAACAAGGAACCACTCACCAGAGTATAGAATTCAAACAGCTCATGTACTGGTAGCAAAAATCTAGGGTTGTTTTAATCACGAGAACTGTGGAATTATTGCGAAGGACCTGAAACTTTCATGCAGGAATAATTTGGTGTGTGTGTGTGTGTTATCTCTTCTTGCAGGCGAAAACAAAAGGTATTGAAAGTGGGATGGATATTGGAGTGAAATATTCAGAGAAACAGGAGAGAGCCTTTAACGATGAAAAACTCAAGGCTGGACATTGTGTCATTGGTCTACAGGTAAGTTTGGTGACCTTGTGGATCTTGGAAAAAAAAATGGAGATCTAAGCTGTTATAACATATGGCCAAAAGACTAAGCTGTGCAATCAGGAAGTCCTGGTTTTGGGACCTTCTTTTGTAAAAATGCTTTCTTTGTCAATTTTATGGACCAAGTGGATGAAATCCAGACATCTACTGTAGATGTAGAATAGATCTGACATAGTAAGCTTTGTTGCCAAAAACCCCCAACACAGTTCTAGGCTGCATTAACAGAGGGATAGAATCAAGATCACGTGAAGTTTTAATACCACTTTATAATGCCTTGGTAAGGCCACACTTGGAATACTGCATCCAGTTTTGGTTGCTATGATGTAAAAAGATGTTGAGACTCTAGAAAGAGTGCAGAGAAGAGCAACAAATTGGGGGACTGGAGGCTAAAACATATTAGGGAACTCGAGGCTAAAACATAAAGAACAGTTGCAGGAATTGGATATGTCTAGTTAAATGAAAAGAAAGACTAGGGGTGACATGATAGCAGTCTTCCAATATCTCAGGGGCTGCCCCAAAGAAGTCAAGCTATTCTCCAAATCACCGGAAGGCAGGACAAGAAGCAGTGGGTGGACATTAATCAAGGAGAGAAGCAACCTAGAACTAAAGAGAAATTTCCTGACAGTGAGAACAATTAATCAATGGAACAACTTTCCTCCAGAAGTTGTGAATGCTCCAACACTGGAAGTTTTAAAGAAGAGATTGGACAACCACTTTGTCCGAAATGGTACAAGGTTTCCTGACGGAGCAAGGGGTTGGATTAGAAGACCTCCAAGGTGCCTTCCAACTCTGTTATTCTGTTAAGGCTTAATCAAGCTGCTGTTTCTCTTCAGATGGGCACCAACAAGTGCGCTAGCCAGTCAGGAATGACCGCCTATGGGACTAGGAGGCATCTCTATGATCCCAAGAACCAGATACTACCTCCAATGGACCATTCCACCATCAGTTTGCAGATGGGTACCAATAAGTGTGCTAGCCAGGTAAGAACTCTTACAAAGTCTCAGCCGGCTCGCAGATTTGCACACAAACCACCATACAACAACAGAAAAGCAGGTTTCAAGGTCTTTCAAAACTTCCCATCCAGCAAAAATGGCATACAATCCGGTCTAGGTTAGCACTGGAAGCTTCTGCCTTCCAATGCTATTTAAAGGTATAAACACACCCACCTAAAAGCTCCTACCTCCTGTAACTCACCCCTAATTAGCCCTTTAATTTCCCTTTAGGTCATCACCCAGTTATACCGAATATGTCCATTGTTTCCTATCTCTGCAATCTATCCTTCGCCTATGAACCTTACCTACTGGCAAGTAAACTATATACCCAGATATCCACTCCCCATCATCCATTGCAGTACTACAGTCGATTCCAAAAGCTGCAAAAGGACAGGGGGTTTCCTGGATTCCCCCTCTCATCACCGTCGACCATCCCATTTCGCCAAAGCACAGTCCTGGAAGTATAGAGTGTCAGGCTTCAGCGGCTCTTATATGACGGGCTCAGTTTATCATCACTAATGGAGCCCGACACAAAGTGTTTAAATCTTTGCTTTAACTTTTTGTTTTGTTTTAATTTTTAAAACAAAACAAAGAGTTTGTCTTCCAAGCCAAAAGAGTCCCGTCCCCTGTCCCCCCGTCCCCCGTCCCCGGTTATTTACAGGATCCATGCCTACAGCAGAAATACAGCATCAGCAAATTACCCCCTTTTGTTAAACTTTGACAAGAATATCTCAGCTCGGTCATTTCATGCTTTAGGCCATGATTTAATTATGGTTTGTTGGATGAGCACTCAGGTAAACTCACACATTGCAATGAATCCTAATCCAAGATTTACAGATCAGGTTTTGTCTTGGCGTAGTACACAAACCCAATGCCTGTTTTCCAGATTAGCAAATTCTGTATAATTTATTGGGTCAATTCTTCATTTTCTCCATTTCTGCTGACACCTAACTAGGACAATTGGGAAAGACATGAAAACATGCCAGATATAAGCATGGTATCTGATCCCAGACATCATTCAGGCCAGAATTTGTAGACTAATCAGCCATGTTTCCAATCGCTAATGACAAGCCACAATCTTTTCCTTCAGATAGTTCACTGTAAGCCAAAAGCAAACCATATTATGGCTTGCACTACAAATAAGCCAGACATTTCAGTTCCAAATAAAATACAATCCTGGTTTCTCTCCTCTTGATGAAAGATCTCCCATAGCTGTGACATATTTTTTGTGTCAATCATTACCATTAACTATATTAACTTTTATTCAATTGTGTTTTAGTTGTTTCCAGTTATACCTTTTACCTTTGGTTGTGATAAACATCCATCCATCCCTTCATGGTTTGGAACTATTACTGCTTTAGACTAGCACATAAGTGTTACTTGATCAGGGTCCGCAGCATTGTCATGGATTTTACACATCCTCTCCATGACCAGTTTTCCTTGTTGCCTTCTGGGAGGAAGCTTCATGGTATCTGAAGCAGAACAAGTTGATTCTGTAATAGGTTTATACCGTATAGTATCTATCTAGTTAATTCTCAAGACTCCTTTTTCCACTAGGTACTCAAAATGGATTGTGATTAATATTTCTACATATATATAGGTTTTGTTATAACTCGGCATTTTTTATTCTGCTGCTATTATATTATTATAGTTATCCTTGGGACAATGACCGTTTGGTGGTGGTAGGGGCGTTCCTTCTTTTGAGAGCAATGCATCGGAATTTAATTTCAATGTGTGCCATTGTGAATATAGGAAAACAACAATAAACATTATGTCGGCCCTGAAGCTATGTGGGGCTGAAGCCATTTTGGAAGCATCTTCAGGGTTGCCACAGCAAGGCCGATTTGGAGCTGTGGGAACATGAATGGGGAAAGATCGAGATAGCTGCGGATGTGTAGCCAAAGCAAAATTCTTTCCCTTGGGAGCCAAGGATGCCCTACCAGGTGTTGGAGAGGCGTGGACCAAAGCCAGCCAGGATGGAGGATGCGACTTGGTTGGGACATGTGACCTAGGGGAAAGAACTTTGGGGTTTTCATTTGGGTGGGGAAAACCTCAGGTCCTTCAGAATCTGGTTTTTCCCAGATGTGCCAATAAAGTAAAGGTTCCCCTCGCACATATGTGCTAGTTGTTTCTGGCTCTAGGGGGCAGTGCTCATCTCTGTTAAAAAGCTGAAGAGCCAGCGCTGTCCGAAGATGTCTCTGTGGTCATGTGGCTGGCATGACTGAACACCAAAGATGCACGGAACACTGTTACCTTCCCACCAAAGTGGTCCCTATTTTTCTACTTGCATTTTTACATGCTTTCGAACTGCTAGGTTGGCAGAAGCTGGGACAAGCAACGGGAGCTCGCTCCATTACACGATACTAGGGATTCAAACCGCCGAACTGCCGACCTTTCTGATCGACAAGCTCAGCGTCTTAGCCACCGAGCCACCGTGTCATGCCTAATAAATCAGTGTTTTGAGGGATATGCCTGCCTTGGAGTTTTGATTCTGTTTGGGAGGTGTTTGCTGGAACCCTGACTACATTATCTGTTTTCTCTTCCCATTCAGGTGGGCATGACAGCTCCAGGAACCCGCCGGCACATCTATGATTCCAAGCTGGGCACAGACAAATGCGATGACAGCTCCATGTCCCTCCAAATGGGCTCTAACCAGGGTGCCAACCAGAGTGGGCAGGTGTTTGGTTTGGGCCGTCAAATCTATGACCCCAAGTATTGCCCCCAAGGCAACGCTGGGGTGGCAAGCAACGCAGCCCCCCTTGAGGATCAGAACTCAGCCAACTATTATTATTATCAGGAGGACCAGTGAACTGGATGTATTCTCTCCCTTGCCCTGTTTTCTCTTCTTTTCCCCAAACCATTGCTGGGCAGTTCCTGGCAAAGTCCAGCAATCCTGCAATGTATGTATTTTAAACTTTTTTTCAAAGGAAAAAAAAAAAGGAGTTGTCCAAGATGCATTTCCCTTCTACCCCGCAAGGATAGGAAAACATAAAAATGTTTATCCTTTTTTTTTTTTAAGAAAGAGAGTAAAGCTGATCTTTAAGGGTTAGACAAGATCATGTGAACTTTCCCTGATGCCCAAACTTAACTATAGATACTGGAAATAACAAAGATTGCAGTATTGATTTCACACTTTAAAAATCCTGGACAATTTCTATCCTGGACAATTTCTTTGAATTATACATGTGCAGATGGAGAGGGTTGCAAAATTTAACTTTGTATGTCCAGAAAAAGGAAGCCATTTCCAAAATCTGAAAATCATATTTTACAACTGTAGTCGGTTGCAATACCGAGCTATAATTTTTTAAAAGAAAAACTATGGTTTGTTGAACAAGCCAGAGATCACTGGAATCTTCCCAATGCTTCTACATCTGGCTTGTATAGGTTGCATTACCCAACTGAAACTTGATGGGGTTTGTATACCGGTAGTCCTTGACTTATGACCACAACTGAGCCCAACATTTCTGTTGCTAAATGAGACAGTTATTTACTGAATTTTGCCCCATTATACTACCTTTCTGGCCACTGTTGTTAAGTAAATTACTACAGTTGTTAAGTTAGTAACACAGTTATAAAGTGAATCTGGCTTCCCCATTGACTTCACTTGTCAGGTGGTCACAAAAGGGGATCACATGACCCTCTGGGACATGGCAATCGTCATAAATATGAGCCAATTGCCAAGCATGTGAATTTTGATTACACAACCATGGGATTGCTACAGTGGTGATAAGTGTGAAAAACTGGCATAAAACATTTTTTTCAGTGCTGCTGTAACTTTGAACGGTTACTAAATGATCCATTATAAGTCAAGGACTACCTGTAATGCTCCACCTCACCTGGAGCTTTAGCCTGCTTCTTCCAAGTAACATCAGGAGTTGAAGGAAAAATAAAACCACCTTCTTCCCAACAACCAGACATTTTCCTCAGTTCCCATTCAGTTCTGCACAGAATTTTCCCTGTTTAATTTCCAACCAATCAGAATAGTTGATACTAGGCTGGATGGACCAATAACAAGAGCTGAAATAAAGTACTTTCATTTCCCCACATTGCCAATTTCACATCCATAATAGCAATAGCATTTAGACTTGTATACCGCTTCACAGGGCTTTACAGCCCTCTCTAAGCGGTTTACAGTAGGGGTGTCAAACTCATGGCCTCCGGGGCGGATGCGTCATGTGCTGGCCCCGCCCCACCTGGTTTAGCAAAGGGGGGGGAGTTCCAATACGTCACGTGACGCCACTGTGACAACGTGAGTTTGACACCCCTGGTTTACAGAATCAGCATATTGCCCCCACAATCTGGGTCCTCCAGAAATAGGTAGAAAGTTTATTCTTCTAGTGCTCGGGGGAATTTATTACTCTGATCTCCTTTGCATATTTTAGGTGACCACGTCTAGGCTGCATAAATCCAGACAACAGCTAGAGGGCAGCAGATACATGCTGGAAACTCAATTATTGCTGCAGTCTAACTGCTGTCTGGATTTACAGCCCAGTAATTTGATTGCAAAATAAATTTGAGGCCTTCCTGGCTGTAATAGAATCAAAATAAGGGATATTGATAGGCTTTTAATTCAAGCACTGAAATTTTCCCTGATACAACATTTCTATGCTATTAAAGAGAAATGGATTTGCTACCTTCACCAGCCTGATCACTATTGGGATATGAAACCCCACAGTTCTCAGCCAGCTCAACTGAAAAATCCTGTGCTAGTTGAGGAATCCATAAATTGCAGTCTAATAATCTAGACTGGAGGAAATGGTGCTAAAGTTATAAAACTGGAATATGAAAAAAAAAAGGATTGGTAATTTGCCTAACAGAGAGTAGAAGCTTCATTTACCTTCAAGGTGTCCAACCTTGGCCACTTGAAGATGTGTAGACTTCAACTTCCAGAATTCCCTAGCCAACATGGGGAATTCCATGGTTGGGGAATTCTGGGATTTGAAGTCCACAAGTCTTAAAGTGGCCAAGGTTGGATACCCCTGATTACCTTAAACTAGTGAGAAAACTAATGCTTTTTTCTTTCCAGAATATTTCTATAATTCTGTCTAGACCCTTGGCATTTTTTCATTCTTGCCTTCATTCCCTCCCTCTTTGAAATCTGTATCAGATTTTTAATCCAAGGTGATGAAGTGTAGAAAGTAGATGCTAGTTAGGATCATTTTTTTATTTATGGCACTTAAGTTTCAAAGAATTCTGTGGTTTAATTCAGTGTTTCTGGACCTTCGCAATTTTTAAGATGTCTGGACTTCAACTCCCTGAATTCCCTAGCCTAGCTAGACAAGCTGGCTGTGGAATTCAGGGAATTGAAGTCCAAACATCTTAAAGTTGCCACGGTTGAGAAACATTGAGAAACATTGAATTACATCCTTGGTCTGCTGTTGCAAAAAGGAGTTTGAACCCACCCTCTCCATTGTGTGATATTCAGTTATATCAAACCTGTTCACCTTTCTGCGACCGCTTTTTCAGAAGCTAGCTACTTATTGATATCACAGGGGTGATGCTGGATTAGATTATTTTTTACTGTTTTTTATACTGGAAAACTAACAACGTGTAGCTATCGGTCTTCATTATTTTTAAGATTTGATTCTGCAAGGGTCACTGTTACTCAGGCTACATCCATAGGGTTGTAGAGATTTCACATTGCAAGGATGGGGGTATCTAACCTGCAGAGGTCTAGGAACTTGAAAAAAGCTTTCCGAAGTCAAGTCCTATTTTTCTCCTCTGGCCCTTCCTCAGTTTGATAGGGCTTAATATTCTTTTTTTTCTGCTGCTATACAATGGATCAAGGGACCATGACCAAAATAAAACTTTTAAGCCTAGGTACCTGCATACTACATAAAGGTCTTAGGAACTAGATACGTATGGACTAATATATTTAAACATCATTGCTTTTTCAGACATTGGATAGTTGCCTTAATTTTTTATATGCTGGGGGGAAAAAAATGATTTCTTTGCCATGTTACCATCATTTAGCAGAAATAAATTTTCTTCCAGTTCTATGTTTTCGCCTGTGGAGATAGATTGAATTTACATAACATGTCATGATTTGTGAAACCTTCTTAGCTGTGCAAACATGACATCTATTCAGAACTCCTAAGCAGTTGACTTTTAAGAGTTCTCTGGATGCATCTGGAGCTGCAAGAGTATGATCAGAACCACTGAGCCAATATATGCAAATTTGTTTGCTTTTTAAGAGGCTTCATTTTTAGAGTGAAAACTTCCTTGGCCAAGAATATTATCCTGGTGCAAGGGACTAATTGATGTAATGTGCAGCCTTCTCCATCTGGGGCCTGTCAGGAGTGATTAATTACAATTCCCATCACTGGAGGCAGGGATGATGGGAACTGTGCTGGAGGACACCATGGGAGCTTCTTTGATCAAGCCTGTTTCTGGTTTCATAGGGATTACCAGCTGTGGGGTTCTTGGTGCTCTCTAAGCTTGGTGGTTTCCTTGCAGACGTTTCATTACCATGTTAAGTAACATTATCTGTGCTGCCTAGCATTGATGTTACCTAGTACGGTAACAAAACGTCAGCAAGAAAACCACCAAGCTCAGAGAGCACCAAGAATGCCACAACTGTTCAACCCTGAGCTAGAAATATTATCTTCTATTGCTTTCTAGCTGCTATGTCAGTCAACAGGTAGAGATAGCTCTAATTTGCACACACTTTTGCTAGCAAATTTAGACTTTCAGGATGCCATAAAGTTTTTGACTGTGGACAATGTTTCTGTATAAATAGTCTCTGGCATTTGACTTGCCCAGGGATGCATTTTGTGAATTCTGTATTTTTAACTCAGCTTCCTTCTATTTTAATAATCAATGTTCTTTCTTTTAAACAAAAAGAAAACTGGATATGCTCTTCTGTAACAACATAGATAGAGCTACATACATTTCTCTGGCAGAGAAGCCAACGCAGAAAGCATGCTGTCTTATCTTAGAAATAGTAGTAGGACTGATGGACAAAATGTGAACCTGCAATATTTGAATCTAAATAAAAGGGCTTCAAAAGCAAAAATGTACCTGTGTTACATTTGTGGGTTTGTTTTTTTTCCTGAGGGATCCAAAATTAAGCAAACAGTATGCAGGGATTTATTTTTAAGAAATAAAGTTGCCTGTTGTAGGTGTACAAAGTTCCAATTCTTTTCACCTGTGCCATAAAAAGGAGTGTGCAACTACACAATGGCTTGCGTTGTGTAGTTACAGCTGCCAACATGATTTTTTTTTTTTGACAGCTCCCACAAACATCAGAGGTTGTTTTGTATCGGGGTAGGGAAGAGAGCACCCTGCAAGGTTCTGTTTTGTAATTCGGTCAGTTTCATTCTGTGAGAGCAGAGCCACTGAGAAAAGCTGTATCAAAACAGTCTGCATTCATGATAAAACGATAAGCAAAACACCAAACACATGGCTCAATAGGAGTCAAATTATGAAAATAGCAGCCTTTACCTTTTAAGCTTCAGTGAAATTTAAAACCCATGACTGAGCAGCTGGTAGCAATCACAAGCATGTTTGCTACAGGGGTAATCTTGATTTACGAAGATAAGTGGAACTGGAATTTCATCTGCTAAACAAGGATGTTAAGTGAATCACACTGGATTTTACAACCTTTTTGCCACAATTCTTAAGTGGAATCATTCCGTTGTTGAGCAAATCTGGCTTCCCCAACTAACTTTGCTTGACAGAGGTCAATTGGGAAGGTCACAAATATCAATATCAATAGTATTTAGACTTATACACCACTTCACAGTGCTTTTACAGCCCTCTCTAAGCGGTTTACAGAGTTGGCATATTTCCCCCAACAATCTGGGTCATCATTTTACCTATTTCAGAAGGATGAAAGGCTGAGTCAACCTTGAGCCTGGTGAGAATCAAAATGCCGGCAATCGGCAGAATTGCACTCTAACCTCTGCTCCACCACAGTGAACACAACCCTGGGAATCTACAACTATTGTAAACGTAGGACAGTTGCCAAACACCTAAATTTTGATCACATGACCATGGGGATGCTACAAGGGACCATAAGTGTAAGAACCAGTTGTAAGTCACTTTCTCAGTGTTGTAACTTTGAACAGTCATTAAACAAAATGGTTGCCAGTCAAGGACTGCCTGTATTTAAGTTCTATCCATCTACCATACCTGATTTACTTAACCAGGGCTTATTCAATAATGCATTATGGAGCCTATACACAAAGCCATCAATCATGGTTTACAACCCTAGCAGCTAAATTCCCACAAATAAAGCCAAGATGAATTGAACTACATGATGTTTTAAGTTGTCTTTCCTCCCGATGTTTCCGAAATATAGTTCTTGCTGTTTTATATTGAGTTTAGAAAGCTACAGCTGCCTGTTCCCTACTTAAAAGTAGGACAAGGCCTGGGGCAAGGCTCCAACTTAATTGTGTCAACAACTCCACCCTTTCAAATTTTAACAGGAGAAGCATCTGTCTCGTAATTTACAGCTGAGAGAGCAGGTGCTGGAAGCTGTTCACCTGGGAGTGTTTATCAGCAGCTCTCTATTGAATCAGCAGCCAGATTTTAGTTAACAATTGGGGGTTACTCCTGCTGCATTTGTCTAACATGCTGGGCTTAAAAGATGGTTTGCTTGGTTGTGGCACTCTGCTTGATAAGCTTCACCATGATAACTGCAATTTCTTAGCTTTCAACAGGAACAAAACCATAAATTAACCACCCGGGCTGGGTTTCCAGAACATCCTGGGCTAAAGTATGCTTGGGAAGTTTCTGGGTTATGCAAAGGCAGTGTTGTGTTGCATGAGCTCAGCCAAGTTGATTAATTCAGTAGACTTGTAACAATGCTTGTAAACTCAGTGCTGGATTGTGTTCATAAATTCAGCCAAGTACATTTGAGTTTACTGAATGGGGCAAACTCAGCCTTGGTGATGGTTTATGGTCCAGTATGTTGTGCAATTCAAGAAAATAGATTGAGCCTTATCTCATGGAAAGAATGTGCTTATAGAACTACAGATTAGAAGGGACCTTGCTGATCATCCTTGCACTGTGCATGAAGGTTGTGTTGTATAAACACAATCTTAATACAGTGGAACAGTTGATCAACTCCCAGAATTCCCAGCTTGCTGGCAGAGGAATTCTGGGAGTTGAAGTCCACACATCTTAAGCTGACAAGGTTGACAAACACTGGTCTATATTATCATTTGTCTCTTCCAGCTCTTCAGCTCTTAAAACATCTATTTTTCAGGGAAAAAAAATACTGCGTACAGATGTTATTGTGTTAAGGTAATGTGTTGTTGGAATCTAGACATTGCTGATAAGCCATGGCTTATTTGCTTATTAAGCAAACCCAACCAGCAGTCATGGGTAATAAACTAGGATTAAACAAACTATTGTTTAATAGTATGGCTGAATACCCTCAAAAAAGGAGGACATGTTTGAGCTTATTACAAATATGTTACCTAGCTCTTTACCTCAAAAATCTTTCAGAACAATTTTTTTCTATTACCATTTGTTGTTTACAAGTCCTCTCAGAGATAAAAAGACTTTGGCCACTCTCTGCTTTTGAGACAGTGATAATGCAATTTTTTAAAATAACATGAAAATAAATATAGTTTGGATGCTGCATCTAAGTCATGACTGGGCTCTGTTGATTCACGAATCATGACGAGGGAAAAGAGAGAAAAATGAAGAAAAAAACAATATGGGGCACTTAACTATTTTTATACCCAGATTTTTGCAGTGTTTGTATATTATTATACAAAACACAGTCTTCAAACCACCAGCTGTGAATCTCAAGCCATGACAATTTTCAATGGCTGGAGCCTTGTGGTTACTACATATATTGCCTATCTATTGAACAATTGAACAAACAATCAATCTACTGAACAATTAATCAGTGGAATGGCTTGCTGGAGGCTTTTAAGAAGAGACTGAACAGCCATTTGTCTGAAATGGTATAGAGTCTCCTGCTGGACTAGAAGACCTCTAAGGTCACTTCCAACTCTGCTACTCTATGTTTTATTGGTCAAGTTCATATACCATGCGGGGACATGGTTCAGTCATTGTTTACAGAACAAACATAATTGCTTGGGTTAGTGCAACATGCTAATCAATCAGT